GTCATCACGATCGCCGTCACCTCTGTTTGATGACCATTTATAATTCTCGCCGGCAAGTGGTTTGCCTTCCTTGAAATCAAAATTGTACTTCTTGGAATTGTACTTCTGGTCGGACTCAAACAACTCCCCAATTGGGGTTGACGACGAAGAAAAAGAAGGTCCAGAGGTAGTAATTGAACTCAACCCTGCTGCTGTTGAAGTTTCTGTTGGTGCCGAAGCACTGGCGACAGGAGGAGGTAGGGTGGGTGTTGAAGATTGACCGGTTGCTGAGTCGAAGTTTAATTTTCTTCTCGCTGTAACTGGATTTGCCCTTGAACTGGCTGCCTGTATTTTTTTTCTTTTTAAAGTTTTTCTTTATAAATAATTTTTGTAATTTTAATAATGTAATAATTAATTTGAAGTTTTAATAAAAAATTATTTCCTTTTATTTAAATGTCTTTCTGTTTGTTATTACTCTTAATTATTATTCTTAGCACAAACCTATTCCTATTTTAATAAATAAATTTGTCACTATCATCGCCATATTCATCATTTTTATAAATTTTTCATCATAAACTTGCTACCCATCACAATCGTCATAATCGTTACATTTATCATCAACATTATCGTCGTTATCATCATTATCATCATCACCAACATCATCATTATCATCATCATCGACATCATCATCATCAATATTCTCATCACCAGCATCATTATCATCACTATCGTAGTTATCATCATTACCATCATCACCAACATCATCATTATCAAAACTCACTTCGGAGTTGGTGGAAGTCGGTGCTCGGACTGTCCCAAATTGGAGGGGGTGCCACTGCTACTAATCGGTTCAACGCTGATGTTGCTACTACTACTATCACTGCTACTGATACCATAACCACTACTACTACTAGCACCGATACTTTCGCTGACGTCACAAGCCTCGCCTCTGGTTACGGTAATAGTACCATAGGTGACACGGCCTTTATTATCGTTATTTTTGTCTTTTTCTTCGTCTTCATTATTATTATTCTTTTTATTCTT